TATACCTCTACATTTCCATGTCTACCATTTTTAGTCTGAGTCTTATTTAGACTGAGTTCACCTCACCACCACCACCCCATCGCCACCATGCGACCGACCTGTGAACACTGGCAAGGCTTGAACGAACCTAAACCTGACACTTGAAAAGATGTTTCCTCCCGAAAAAACCCATAATACATTATCCTCGCTTCATTTTAACGGAAGACAATTACGAATATTCCCCATTAACTGATAACCTCACTTCATGATGCAACGCGTAAAAATTACTTGGGACGCTCTATAGATGACGGAGTAAGCAGCCGACCCTGCAAACCGGGCAACTACGGCCCTTTGCCTGTTAGCACCTGGGGCATCCGGCAGGTGCGGTGGCGAACGAACTTTTTCTTCAGTTCCAAATGAGTTTGAAGTTTGAGGATGAATTCCAAAAATACAATTGAAACGAATAGTTATCATGTACCTGAGCCTTTTTGGTGCGAAATCATTTAAACCAGTTAACCTCGTAGCATACAATATTTTATTTTACGAAATTATATTTATTCAAATTGATGATTTACTAAAAATTATTGTTAAACCTGTCTAATTCCTCACATAATTAACTCCAATAATTTCCTCCATAAGAAATTCATAGTGGCACCATTTCAACTGTTTCATACTCCTTCATAACTCATTCTCTCATCCAGGTAAGTTTCGTTCATGTATATCAACGCTGCTATAGAAGCAATAACAAGCAATAACGATCAGTAACAAAATAAAACTTTGCTCAGACAACTCGCCGAAGTAAACAAGAGAATTTGTGGCGTCGTCGTATGAAAGTCCGTGCGGCCGTGTGTTGCAGGAATCTTCATCGACTTCGAGCCCAGGCCCTCCGGGGCGGCGGCCGCCCGCGGGGCCCGCGCGCTGCACCAAGACGCGCTCCAGGGCAGATCCTGCTCAGCGCGCCGCGACCTGCCCCGACGCGCAAGGATAGCCCGCCTTCCAGAGCGCGCTGGCCAGCACCTGCCTAGCGGGACTATTAAAAATACACAGTTTCAAGCTCCAGTGCGGAATACGGAATACAATGCTCACTCAAGCTGCCACTCAAACGTGACCAAACGTCACTCAATACGTGGACTCAACGTGCATTCAAACGCGACTCAATTGTGACCACATGCGTGGAAACAAGCATGACACAAAATGTGACCCACACACACACAAAGTGAACCACACACACCACAAACTTGAACATAAACTTAAACATAAGCAGGTAATCAAGTAAGGCACGGTAGTGGACACCCCAAATAGAACAAACGCCAAAAGTTGAGTTCAAATGTGAATATAAAGTTGAAAATCGTAACTCAACCATGAAACACAAACGTGCCCCACAAATGGAGCAAAAATGTGAAACAAAATATTGTACTCAAAAAGTGCACTCAAACGGTGAACACATGCGTAGACACAAACATGGGACGAAAACGTGAGGCTAATTGTAGCAAACAAAGTGTACAAAATACGAACACCAAAGTGACACAAAGTAGACACAAAAGTGAGCCCAAATGGTGCACTAACGTGAGCACAATGTGAGCGACGAATTTATCACAAATTTGAACATAAATATAACCAAAAAGTGACACAAAATGGAAACTCGTATTTGAAGAATAACACTCACATATTAAATTTAACGTCAAACTTCATCTCAAGCTTTAAACCAAACTTCAAACCCAAAAAAACCTTTACATAAATATAAACGTTAAAATTTATTCATGAACCCTGGCTGGAAAACTTACACTTCACTCTAAACCTGCACTTTATTGTTCTTGAAATTACCACATAAATAGACTTTTAAGACGTATTGCAGAGATATTCTGCTTTGCGTTGACATCGTGGTTTATCTGTTTATTTAATGCTATGCATCTAAGGGTTACACAAAAAAGTATGCTTGCGTTCATGATTAAAAATGCATTATTATTATTAGTTATTATTATATTATTTATTATTATTCTTATTTATTATTAATGTTATCTATGCCGAAAAATAAGATTGTAGATAATTAGTTACGCTAAATAAGACTAGACAGTAGTCATCATTTATTTTTCCTCTCTTATCTTTTATATTTTTCTCTTTTTCTTCTTATCTTATTGTCCTTTTCACTTTTCTTGACTTTCATTTCTTTCTTATCCTCATAATCCTTCTATTTCTTTTCTCGTGTTTCTTGTTTTCCTGTTTTTCTCTTTTTTCTTCATCTCTTCCTCCCTCGTTTGCTGTTTATCGTCGGTTCGCATGATAATACTGTGGCTATCGCAGGGTCCTCAGTGCAGATCGTTGAAATGCAAAAGTTAGCGGGTTGCGTCATTTCTGCTAGAAGGAAAATATAAGAGACGGGCTAAATTTTCTGTTGGCCGATTGGTCAGTGGCAGAATGAATACCATTATCTCGAAGATAAAAAAATATCACTACAGACGACTAATGACCTTAGCAGTTGACGTGCCCAGAAAATCTGTCAATCAGTACTAAAGAGAAGAGGTTGAGACGCCATCGTTGTGCCGCAGCGAGTGACCGTCGGTGCACCAGAGAGCTGTCGGAGACTTCGTACCTGCAGCAGCACCGGCCGGCGGTGGCGCGTCTCAGGAGCACACGAGGAGGGGACGAGACAGAGGAGACGAGAGAGGACGCGAGGAGACGAAGGAAACGTGTGGACGGCGTCGGAGTGGCGGCGTCCACGCCGAGGTACGTCACGGCGCGGCAGCAGCGCTAAGCAGGAACGAACATCTTGCGTTTGTTCTGAATGATACTTGGCTGTCCGGGGACCGCCGCGTTCCGGAGAATTTAGACATTTCCCTGAGGAAGTCGCACATGACGTGTGATCTCATCTGAGCCTAATGTAATCTCCGGAATCCAATACAACACTGGCTCGCACGCCAAAAGCGATCTTTCATTGTTTCATATTCATTAAAAGGAGGCTGTTATTTCGTCAAATATCGAAAAATTGAATATGAATAGAGATACGTTAAATTACATTTTTTTTACTATTGTCGCATATTGGGTATATAATCCCTACCTCCCCAATGAGGTTTTCAAACCGTGTACCCTTCTTGAAAATTTTTATTTGATTACACCATTAATCATAATATTCCAGTCGTTAGATAAGATTTTAGGTTACCAATCCTGGCATTCCCCCAAATCACTTGCCTTTTGCCGTATCCCTTTTAAAACTCCAAAAACAGGTTTATTTGGCTTATTCAATGTTCGTATGTGTTCTATCGCATTTGCTTCAGCAATATCGGATTAAAATGGCTTGGCAAATTCCTCTCTTCTTTCGATGCACACTTATCACAGCTCATACTAATCACTGAGAAGAAAATATTGCCATCGTATCTCTAGTTCTCTGATCACTAAGTCACCAATCTCGTATCATTTGTTGATTAAAAGCTTGTATGAAGTTTCTTTCCAAAATTGTGGCTTTTCGAATGGTATATAAAATTAACTTAATTAATTTTGTGTATTCAGTTTTCATACTTATTCGGTA